ACTTTTTTAAAAATAATAGAGTTTACAAAATTAAACAATATTCCAATATTATTTAAAAAAAATCTATTTAAGAAAATAATTTATGCAGTAATGTAAGAAATTTAGCTTGCATAGAAGCTTTTGTATGATAAAACAAAAGTAATAACAAGATATAAAGATAAATTAGAATAATCTAAAGAAGAGAAAGTAAGTAGTGCCAGAAGCAATCTTATACTATTTAGAGTCAATTAGAACAATATGCTAAGAATCAAATTAAATTCTAAGATTTTTTGATCTATTATTTAAGAAAAAAATTTATTAAACATAAATAAATACAAAAAATTAAACAATATAATATTAATCAAATTTTTTATCAAAAAGCAATTTAAAAAATAAATTGATTATTGTATTAAATTTGATTATAATCTTTTATCTATAATATCTATAAATGAATAAAGATTAATAAGGTTAACAATAATAAAAATTTGACCAAATTATTTTCTGTTTTTGGTTTATTAATGCAAACTATATTGTTTTTTTCAAAAATTTTTTTTCATCTTATTTTATTAAAAAAATTAGTTACATAAATTTTTTTATTTAAACAACCCTTAGTCAAAAATGAAAAAAAAATTTGAGTGCAATTTGAGCATACACATTGCTTAGAAAGAGCTGTGCATAGCAATCACAAGTGCTTAAAACTAGTGCTAAAAAAGAGTACATTTTTTTTTATAAACGTTTGAAATTTGAGAAACCTCAAAATACCAAAAAAAAGCAAAATTTAAAGAAGGTCAATTACTAAAAATATAAAAAAAATAAAGAAATTTTTTGAATAATAATCGCCTAGAGTAATCCAGAGTAATACCAAACGCTAACGTCTACTTTTGAGCATTAACTTACAAAATTGTTAATGTAACTTTACATTGAATAGTGCATTGTACATGATAATTTACCGACATTACAAAAGTTTAGCCAGCACTAATAGATATCATTATGTTCAGAATTGTTATTTTTAATGCTAACGTTATAAAAATTTTTGCAAAAATTTCACAATTTTTATTTCAGTAACTTATACAATTTACATAAAATTACATAAAATTACAATAATTTTCCAACCTAGTGATGTGCCCATCAGAGGTTTCGTAATATTTCGGAATTTCAGAATTCTATTCTGCATTAACAGCAAGTGACCATAATGCAGACCAGAGTTCTATGTGCATCAAATTTGAAAAAAGCCCAATTTTCTCATCACTAGTAGGAAATAAAATCATTGTCATGTAAATGTATGTATTGCTTATCATTAGTCATAATTCCCCGATACTTTAAATAAACACATAGCTTGCAAGATATTAAACGCAGTAGCAAAGCCCAATGCTGTTTGTAATGTATAAAAGTCTATTGATTTCATGTAAATAACGTATATATAGTTAAGTAAGGAACGTAATAATAAAGACCATCTAACTAGAGACCTGCATTGGGTCCCACAGGCCTAAAAATTTTTACAGCTATTATTATAATTACTGAGACACTTGTTAAAATTGGCCAAATGATTTTTTGGCCGATTCAGTTAAATTTATGATTCGACATAATAAATTCTATAAACTGATATGTATATATATGTACATATATACCAGGTAGCTAATATAAATATTATACGGATACAAATCTCTAGTCAAATATAGAAGCATGATGCTTTCAAAGCACCTTCGCCGGCAAATAATTGAAAAAAAAAATTAGAAAGCTTATCATTTTGAAAAGTGCAAAACACTTGGATGTTAGCATATATTTTATAAGTCGAGTCTTCAAGCACTTTCGAAGATATGGATGTACCGTAGTGCACTGACTAAAGACCCGAGAGTATTTTGACTGTTACTGGATCAAAATTTTGGGATTTTACCAAAATTGCATAATTTTACATCATGCATTATACCCGGGTATTTTGCAAGGAAGGTCTTTTAGTCAGTGCACTACGTATTGAAAAACTTTTGCAACACATTTTCGACCAATGTTAATAAAATTATTTCTAAACCAGTCAACAAATTCTTGACCATATCTAGCTTTTTAATATCAACAGCTACTTGTGTAATATGTTTATTATGAAAGTTTATTTTATATCTAGAGCCTTTTTTATATTGCCTATTGAGATTTATTTATTTAATGTACATACGTACCTATGTACAATTAATCATAAACTTAACTGAATCGGCCGAAAAATTATTCAGCCAATTTTTACAGGTGTCACAGGAATTATGATAATAGCTGTAATAATAAATGTTGCGCACTGGGCTGGGTTGGGCAAACCTGAAGAAAAAATTTATATATATTGTGAGCAGTAGAATGGTGAGGCCGGAAGCTTGTAATCGGTAATGGGTATGTAGATCATATATCTGAAATAGGTTTACTGGCAGTATACGCAGTATATGCTATATCTGCAGTATACTATGTATTGGGCAGATAATGGGTATTAGTAGAATACAGTATATAATTATTATAATCAGTATAGAGAGTATAATTAGTATCAGTGATATAACATTATTGTCATTATAATTGGTATAAATGTTATAATTAGTATAAGTGATATAACACGAATACAATGTATAACATGCCCTATGTAAATAAAAGTATATAATAAAGGCTTGCGCCCTACAAGCACAGTTCAGTTAGCACTTATCTTAAGACCTGTCCCTAAATAATTATTTGCTTTCGCTGAATTATAAAACCTACGATCATAAATACACCACTCGCCAAATCTAACCACCTCTTATCGACTAAGCCATTTATAGGTTACATAATGTATCTGTTTGAGAAGCAACTGAAACGCCGACGCTGTTCGCTGGTGTCATTTTGGTGGTGACTGTGAGATTCGACATCCAATAGCAGCTGGACTGCATATAATGTGCTGATAGAATAAGGAAAGACAATTAAATTACTAAAAGAACTAGTATCTAAACAAGGAAGAAAGAAATGTATAAAACATACCCAACTTCTTGGAGACCAAAGAAAACTAAAGTTAAGACGAAAAAGATCCAAAGAAATCCTCAAAAAGAAACCTGGTGTCCCTGTTGTAAAACAAAAAAACATCCTGTTAATAAATGCCTAGAAGTTTGTTTATTAGAAGAAAGATATGCAACATTATTTGAAAAACTTACAGATAAACAAGCCTGGGTAGTCCAAAGGATTGTCAACAAAACCTTTGGTAATCGAAACCCTAATGAAAGACAAATTCTGAAGGCCCTGAAACTTTTGGTGGAAATATTAGAAAAGGTATCTCTAGATGATGAAGATAGAATAGAGAAAATTGTATACCTACCCTCGTATATTCAACTGGTTTTACCTGTAGAAGAAGAAGATTCATTTCTAGTGTCTTTAGTAGTTCCAAGTCCAGAAGTCACCTCAACACTGTCTTGTTACCAAAAGGATCCGATTTCTGAATTGATTGTTTCTACCTTGTTCCAGAAGTAGATAAGAACAGAACTAGCATTAAAAAAGAAGAAAGTAATGGAATCAGAGTTGAAAAAGCTATGCGAATAGGAGTTAAAAAGGGCAAAAGGATTGGAATTAGAAAAGACAAAAGAATCAGAATTGATAAAGATGAACAAAAAAAAACATCCAAATATTTTCAAAGAGCTGTCAATATGAAAAATGAGGAAGTTACTTTTAACGACGGTTATCATTATGAAAATGGAATTGAAGTTGAAAAGGTGGAACAAGAACCTAATAAACAAGTAAAATACAAAGATGAATTGGAAGACTTGATCGACAGTTACTTGGAAACCCTAATGACCTAGACATCTAAACCATCTGTTCATTACCAAAAATCTACAGAAATAGAAAATGACGATGGAACATCTAATGTTGAATCATATTATAAAAAAAGAATTGATGTTAAAAAAGATAACTGTCAAGCATTGAACAATGATAATAGTAATAATTATGATGATGGCAATGATGACAACAATGATGATATAATATGTGATAATATCGATGGAACTGAGATTGAAGAGAATAAAAACCAAGGAATTAGAATTGAAAAAGCCAGACGAACTGAAGTCAAAAAGGACGAACAAAAAGCGATCAAATACTTTCAAAAAGCTGCCGATATGGGAAGTACCTTTGACATCAGTTATTGTTACAAACATGGAATTGAAGTTGAAAAAGAAACTGATGACCTATCTGAACCAAAGAAAGAGCCCTCTGGAAGTGAAGCCGAAAAGGATGAATACGATCCCTGTGATAGTCACCTGAAACCATATGAGTACAGTCCTCCTGCTGGTATGTATAACACTGGGCATTGCTATCAAAATGGGTATAATGTCGAAAAAGATGAATGCAAGACATTTAGATGTTATCAAAAGTCTGCTAACATGAAGTATGCTAGAGGGAAATGTAATGATGGTTATTGTTATGAACCTGGAATTGGTGCTGAAAAAGACAGACATATGACATTCGTTTATTATTATAAATCTGCTGAGATGAAGGATGTTAATAGAACATATAATGTTGTTAAACACTATAGAACTGGTATCGAAACAGATGAACAGAAAACCTTTATTCATTATAAAAAAGCAGTTGATATGGATAATGCTAATGGTGCATATAATCTTGGATATTGTTACCAAAATAGGCTTGGAGTCCAAAAGGATGAACGTAAGGCATTTAAATATTATGAAAAATCTGCGAATATGGTATATACTAATGGAATATATAAAGTTGGGCATTGTTATTACAATTGAATTAATGTTGAGAAGGATGAACGTCAAGCACTTACTCGGTATCAAAAAGCAGTTGATACAAAAAATAGTGATAGAATATTCAAAGTTGGCTGCTGTTATAGAATGATAGTCAAGAAAGCTATTGAAACTAAGCTCCTGCTGCCCAAATTCATCACTGAATCCCATTGGAAAGCCTGAATAAAGCCTGCGAAGATTGGAACAAAAGGGTTATTGAATTCAGAAGGACGATCCAAGATGACTCTCGAGAGATAAAGGACCCATACCTAGTCGAACCTGAAGGATTGCCACCATCTAGACGTAGTCTTGGCTCTTGTTATCAAACTGGAAACCATTTTGTAAAAGAGAAATTGAGTAGTAAAATGCCTGAATGGTACCTGAAACATATTAAAGGAATGGTGTTATATTAAATCAAGCGCATATACCTTGATGAAAATGAGGCCCTTCGATACTTACTGACATATGAACCATATACCTGTGTCTTCGATCCTGGTGGACAGATTAGTTGGGCCACTCAAAGTCATGCTAATTTCTTCCCTGTCATTTAACTTTGTCTCGTGGAACTCGACCTTGAGTTGGGGAGGAATGTGAGCAGTAGAATGGTGGGGCCGGAAGCTTGTAATCGGTGACGGGTATGTAGATCATATACCTGAAATAGGTTTACCGGCAGTATACGCAGTATATGCTATATCTGCAGTATACTATGTATCAGGCGGATAATGGGTATTAGTAGGATACAGTGTATAATTATTATAATCAGTATAGAGAGTATAATCAGTATCAGTGATATAGACATTATCGTCAGTATAATTGGTA